CACCATACTCATTGCCCACTTACACATCCTCTCAATCACCCTCTGTACACCCCCGTGGTCCCGTATCCATCATTCCCGTCAGACCACCCCGTCACCCTCCATTGGTCCTCCCGGCACTGTAACGTCAATCTCGGCACTGTGACGTCGTGCCCTTCCCTGCCCGTCTGCCGAGGAAGCCCACCACACCGCCACGCCGCCCTTTCCGCCGCTCCGTCGGATGGGTCACTGCCTTGATCACTTCCGCAATGGTCTCGCTCTTCCCTCTCCGGGGCATGCCTCTCCGTCGGCCTCTCTCCAACCCGTCCTTCTGCCGGACGTCGTCGATGACTTCTGCGGACATGCCCAACACGCTGCTGTGCTCGTGGGTGTCTCGATCAACGTCTGCTGGCCAATGCGCCTCTGTCTTGCCTAACTTCTGCTGATGGGCTGGTTGGGCTTGGCCGGCCGATCGCCGGGGGGTGGGTCACTGTGCTGATCGACGCGATCCGGCAGGCAGAGATGGCGAGCGCGATAGATGCGAGGACATCTCGAGCCGTCAAGCGAGCGGGGCGATCGGCTGGTTGGGAGCTGGAGATGGCCGAGCGCACTTGGTACAGGCACTGTGAGATGCCCGATCTGTCCTTGAGCTCGGCTGATCGATGGGGATCATGGTCGATGTCGAAGCTGGCGTCCCGCGTGAGGATGGATGAGGTCGAGCGCCATGCGGCTTGAGCCTGTGGTCTGTGTCAGCAATCACTAGAACCGATGCGATGACGATGGGTACTACATGTTGTGTGACTTTCACAACTGCTGGACGTGTGCCTGTAGGAAGGACGGCATGTTGTGGGAAAGTGCCGATGCTGTGCGGCGGGCGTGGGCAGGGGGGGTCTCTGTAGTGATGCCGATTGCGATCGGGGCGATGGCCGCGGTGGAGCGCCGATGAGCCTTGCGGCGATGGCTACGACATGACGTGAGGGGGTAAATGGTCATCGGGCGGTTGGTACTGGGGATGTGGGCCACGGACTGAGTACATAGTTGTGACGAGCGCTGCGATGCGAGTGCGTCATGGGGCGTGGCCACGACTGAGGTGTATGCGTGGATGGCTTTATCGACTGGCCAGTTGCTGGACAGCAGGCTCGTGACCAGCAAGCAGGTGATGGGATGGGAGAGGATGGATATCTGCATCATCCGTCAGTCTGTCCGATGAGTGTGTGTCGATGCTTGGATGGAATGGGAAGGTGGAGGGAGCGGAGCAGTGATCACCAGTTCGTTCGGCGACGGACGATTCAGAGCTACGACAAGTATAACTCCACACACCGCTTCTACACGGATCTCCGC